GGGAGAGGTGAGAAAAAGAACATTTGTCAATATAAAATGTGTGGGCTTTGTAATCAACTTTATCAACTGTTCCCACTACAAACTGACCGAAAAACAAAAAGAATTCCACAACTTAAGACCTATTTTCCATATCTACGCAAAATACAATGTAAACCTTAAAAAAAGAATAGAAAGTGCACTCCTATGTAAAAAAAAAAAAAATATAAATAACTTCTGACACTAAACACTAACATTCACGTACAACATCGAAACTTGCCGGAGCTACCAAATTATTAAAAGTTATTTAAACAAAAAACTGATAGAACTGCCTCGTACGAAACTCACTACTACACCAGACATTAATAAAGGTAGCAAAAGAATTTCAATTACAGCTGCCAATAAAAATATTTCAATTAGAGCTGCCAATAAAATAACCGCTAAAATGAATCAAAACTTACAACCATCTTAAGCGATAAAACAAAATTCAAAAAATGAAACAGTCACCATACTGATAATATTTAAATAATAAAAAATAAGTTATCACTGCTAATAATGTCGAAATGAGAATCTCCAAAATTGAGAAAATTATTCGTAAATACAAACCAATTTATATCCAGTGTCGGCTTTACCTATAGGCTTAACAGGCTGAAGCCTAGGGCCCCAAAATATAGGGGGCCTCAAACCAACTATAATATTTTTGACACTGTCATAGGCCTTTCTTACACATCAGCTGTCATAACGCGTTATAGATTCTTTGAATAATCATCCTCAGCTTCACTCAAGTCGTTTAACAATCTTCCATTTTTCTCTACTAGTGAAAAGGCGTGATTTGAAGGATTGTTAAACGACTTGAGTAAAGCTGAGGATGACTATATATATATATATATATATATATATATATATATATATATTGATAATTCTTTGTTCTAGTTTGTGGTTATTGCTAGTTTCTTTAGATTAATTTGATGATAGGTTTTACTATTTGTATTCTGCTCTTATTTTTTTAAAAAAGATTTAATTTATATCGTTGTGTTCTGTGTAGAATGTAAGTAAAGTTTAATACTGTTTTGAAAATTTGTTAGATAGGTGGAGGTAATTGTGAAATTATTGATCTAAGGTTTGTGAATTTTTAATTTTTCATCGATATAACTAGGGCCGGATTTAGATGAAGAGAGGCCCTAGGCCATTCCAATCCTCTCTTCATCTAAATCCGACCCTATTTATATTTACTAGCAGCCATACCCAGCTGGTCAATCAGAAAAACCGTTCAATTAGAATGGAGCAAAAACAGCATCATGTTTAAATGTAACAGAGTCTATCTTCTTCAATTAATTTAAAGTACTTTCATTAAAAGACATTTTGAATTAATTCAGTTACTGATATAACAGTAGTAGTCTGTATTTATTCAATCGTAGGGATAAAACAGGCAACATGGAGACCCACTTCAGATCACAATTATTGTGGAGTTTTTTGAAATTCAATTTGTAAGCATGCTACCAGGGAAATAAAAGAGGATACATTTATAAAGCAATTATTAAGTTTGATGAAAATTGGTTGAAAGATCAACGGAAAATAAGAAAGAAAACAGTAAAAATTGCCATTTTTCGCTATTTACGCAGGTTTTCACTATATGGGTGAACTCAATTATCAAGTTAAATGACTGTTAAACAATCAACTTATTGATGGCTAAAATTAAGTGAAGTTTGTATTAGATTGCTTGAGGGAGTTTTTAGTTCAAAATTTGTGTTGAAATCGATTTTTCATCTTTCGTTAAACGCAGTGGCGTAGAAATAAAAATGAAGTATCGTTGAGCTCGTCATAATGTAACTAACCTACATACCGAGTTTGAACGAAATCAGAGGAAAAAAGTTAAATTTTTCGATTTTTGATTGGCTTTATCGATTATTGATTTTTAAAAATTATCGATTTTTTACGCTAAGAACCTATCTCTTACATTTTACAATGTATGCGCCAAGTTTGGTCAAAATCGGTTGGATGGATCTCGAGTGAAAAGGTATCACACAGACATCCTCCGTTTCTCTGTTTTATATATATATATATATATATATATATATATATATATATATAAGCATGGTGATTGAAAAGTAAATCCCTATTTTATGTATGATGGACTCTTTGTTTTACAACGTTGTACTAGAATGGCTCTGCTATTTTTTCGATGGCGGACAAATTCAAGGACATGCAAGCATCAAATTTTACGTGAAGCTCAACATATCTACTATTTGGTGAAGTCCTTGTTAAACATTTTTTTTTTTAGGTTGAATACAGGTTTGTGGCTGTTGTGCGTTCCGAAGTTGGTTGAATATCTGACGAAGAAGTGGCGCGACGCTGGGCAATTAACTACTAACAAAATACCAGAAAATGTAGAAAACAAAAGTCAATTCGTCTATAAGAAGCGTCACTGAACAAACATTCAGACTCTCATCTCTTATAAAATAAAATAAAATGTGCCAATTGAGAGATGGAGACAAAAGATCTACCGATCAAATTCCCTTTCCGAAGCAAGTCGCAGTGAAAGCACATCTGTAAAACCGAAGCTTCTTCTGGCTGTAAAACCTTCTTCTGCAACCGCTAGGAAAAGAAAAATGCTTTTCTCGCGTTGAAATCGCTGACGACCCGAGAACTTGCAAGAGACTTGGAATACCCTCAGAAAGTCAAGATAGATAGCGAGGTACATAAAGAGACGTGCAATGCAAGTGAACAAACAGGCAGAGACACATAAATCAAAACTAAAACCAGTGTTCAGGTGGGGATTTTTGTCTTACCTCTGATCAGAAAACAATATGACAACCAATCCTTATTGTTTATCTAATATCAACTCCCAACCGCACCTTTTGGCCTTATTCCATTACATTTGGGTCATGGCCTCATTTTCAAGGAAAGCCAGACGCCCACGAACCACATTTTGTCGAGCAATTAGAATTTTTCTTTATATTAAAAAAGAAAAAAAGTTTTTATTCTCCTGACACTTAAACCAACTCACCCACCCGTCGTCATAATCAGGGGTACTATTCCTGTCCGCCTTCGTGCCATAATAAACATTTATTTTATCTTTCAACAATGGTGTTGTCTTTCCAGGTGGATTTCCTCGTCTCAATGCGGTTTCGTCACGTGGAAGGTCGGCCATTGTTAGTTTCTTTTTCTCATGTTGACAAATACAGCTTTGTTGTAGTGGCCATGTTTACAACGATTTTAGATTTCTTTCGTTTCTTATTCATTTTCGGAAAATTTTGGAGTTTCTTTAAAAATCATTTCGGTTTTTGACCCAGTTCTTTCCTTTTTTTCTTTCTTTTCTTTTTTTTTTATTAATCCTTCTTGCAAAAGACATTCTTTTCTTTTGATTTCTTTCTTTCTCTCTTTGTGTTATCAATTCTTTTTTTCTTTCTTTCTTTCTTTCTATCTTAGTGTGTCGAATTCTTTCTTTCTTTCTTTCTTAGTGTGTCCAATTCTTTCTTTCTTTCTTTCTTTCTTTCTTTCTTAGTCTTTTCAATCCTTTCTTTTTTTCTTGCCTAGTGTGTTCAATCCTTTCTTTCTTTCATTCTTTCTTCCTTTCATCCTTTCTTTCTTTCTTTTTTTCTTTCTTATTGAGTTCAATCCTTTCTTTCTTTATTTCTTTCTAGTTTTCTTTTTTTCTTTCTTTCTTACTGGGTTCAACCCTTTGTAACTTTCTCTCCTTTTTTCTTTCTTGCTTTCTTAGTTTTTCAATCCTTTCTTTCTTTACTTTTTTTTTATTGCTTTCTTTGTGTATTCAATCCCATTTTCTTTCAATTTTTCTTTCCTTTTCCTTTTGTATATGTCATTATTCTTATGAAAGTCACTCTTTCATTTTTCTTTAATTTCCCTTTATTTTCTCTCTTCATTTTTGGAAATTTAAATATAAAAATAATCTTTTTTTTAAATGTGTGATCTAAACTCAATTCTTTCTTTTTTTTTTCTTTTCCGTTTCATCTCCCTTCTTTTTTGCTTTCTTTCTTTCTTTTTCCTATATTTTTAATCAAAATCTTCCTTACAGCAGTATATAAATAATTCTTCTTCTTCTTCTTCTTCTTCTTCTTCTTCTTCTTCTTCTTCTTCTTCATACGCATCTTGGTCTTTTTTTTTTCTTACACCAATACTTTCTGTCTTTTTCCTCTTGATGGCTCATCCTTTTGTCTCGCGTTCGCTTACAACCTTGTCTAGGAGATCTGCCATAAAAAACACGACCCTCTTCGTATCTTATATCGTTAATTTGTGCCCCCTACCGGACAATATGTCCTGGTAGGGGTCTCCCGCTCCTATAGGATAGCCACGCTGTAGGGGTTTAACAAGTACTCCATAAGAGCAAAAAAACTTTTATGTTGCCTCACGCGTATTCCATTTGTATTGCTTTGTGTTTATCAACAATTTTTCCAATATCAAATTGTTTGTCACTTTAAGAAGCGTAGAAATAAACGGATGTCTCACAAATTCGCTCTCATGACATCATGGCATTCGACGTTCCCTTTAAAGGGCTAAGATAAAGAGATGAAATAAATAACAATGACATTAGTGAGAAAGTGAATGTGATTGCCGACGAACATATTTTACGGTAGTAAGGCTAGAGACGTCAGCCACTTCCCGTAAACTAAGTCGCTACAAGTGGTAAGACATATACTCTAATTAGCCTGGTATTTTCTGAATAAATATTTCAGGATTTAATAGCTTACTTTACTAGCAAGTCTAAATCACCATCTCTGCGGTGTTATTTTCTCTATCACAACAAATTATCACATTTTAAACTTATTATTAAATATGTGGTTATGATTAATTACATTTGTAATAGTTTAGCCCAATCTTTGAAGTAAGGAAGAAATAAACAAAGAAATATCTTACTTTTACTACTACTACTACTATTAATACTAATGCTAATACTACTACTAATAATAATGATAATAATAATAATAATAATAATAATAATAATAATAATAATAATCGGCGTGCTAGGAGAATTTCAAGACTAGAGACGAGAGGAGTGTTGGATTATGAAAGTCAGTTCATGTCGAACAGCAACCCGCGACCCCTACCCTCGCGGCACCGCCCACGACAATAACTACCTGAAAAAGGAAGTAAACAACATGTGCCAATATTTCATACACAACAACACGCACATCGATCTATTCGCGTTTGCTTTACAACAACCGCCAACATTTCATTCCGTGAAGACCGAAATCATTTTTTTATCCATACCCACCTGTGCCCGCGGACCGGGTTTCTACCAGCAATAAGAAAACTTCTTTCTTATATGTTCTCCCCCTTTCTCTCACTATATATATATATATATATATATATATATATATATATATATGTGTGTGTGTGTGTGTGTGTGTGTGTGTAATTATGTGTGTGTGTAAGATTAAAGGAAAATATAAATAAAGACAAAAGGAAAACTTATCGTAGCCGATGCGTTTCGTTCTCTGAGGAACTTTACCAAGGCAAATAGGACACGGCATATAGATTATTATTATTATTATTATTATTATTATTATTATTATTATTATTATCATTACATTTGCTTTCATAAAGTCCCTCAGAGGACGAAACCCCTGTATATATATATATATTATAACCATGGAATATTAGTGTTAGAGCCTTTTTATATTATGTTATATTCTTACTCTGTCCTGGACATGGAGTTCTACCTGGATTCTATCCTCTTGGAAATTTATATATATATATATGTATATATATATATATATATATATATATATATATATTGACCACTGATTTTATTAATATATATATATATATATATATATATATATATATATATATATATAAAAAGAGGACATAGAAGTCACTACCCAGAAACGACAGTCTGTCTCATGTTAAACGCAATCGCCAGGCCATATATATATATATATATATATATATATATATATATATATATATATATATGGACTGCCGATTTTATATAAAGGATGCTATGGATAAATTTTTCCATTTTATATTTTAATTTCGCGCATGTGCATTGTTTGTTTTTGATTTTGTCAACTGCCCAGTATAGTAGGGTCAGTTGGGCACCGTCTATGAGAAAAAGAGCACCATGACGCAATTCACTCTGCCAAAAATTTGGAAACGGTATGGTGCACTGCTTGGCATTCGCGCCGGAAGCTCCAATAAGAACATTTCAGAGTGTTTGGGTGAGGACAGTGCAGAGGATTCGAAAAGAGTTGGATGAATCTAATAGTCATTACGAAGGTTTTTTAGAGTGATTACTAATGATGGCGACGTTATGCCACCAATCAGGGCCTCAAACTCAGCAGGGAGGCCTACATCAAGTTCCTTCAAGTTAGTGTTCCCCTGGGTCATGTGTGTTATTGATAGCAGATCTTATGTCTGGAAACCGGACTTTGTACCATGCCACACAAGCAGGATAACCCAGTCATGCCTGTCAGACATTTTCTACTCCACATCACCCCTTACATCTTGCCACCTAACTCCCCAGACTGCAACCCCCTTGATTATTATGTGTGGGGTGCAGTTGAGTGAGAGACCAACAAAACTTCTTGTAACGCCAAAGGATGAATTGAAGGCAAGGACTGTGGCAACATTCGCCAACTTAAACTGTCCAGAAGAGTTGCAGCAGATTCCGAAGTCGTCTGGAGGCCGTGGTTGAAACCAATGGCGATTTTATTGAATAAATTTACTCTTTAATATTTCAGAATATTTTTGTGTAGTTTTGGTAAATATGCTTGTTAAAATGAGATGTCAGTGTTATTTTTATTTTTGCGTCATTTAGACGACAATTTATCCATTGCACGCTGTACTTATGCTAGTTTGACGACCACAACATTATCAAGACGTCTTCATTTATTGGATACAAGTTCTATTGCACATCTAAAAACACATTCTTGTAAATCTTCACAATATAGGAAAATACTTGACAAATCAATATACAACACCACGAAAATAATAAAAAAATACTTCAAATTCTTGAGGCCCTGTATATCAACAGTAACCAACCAACACTCAACAAAATTTGTTTAGAGTGTAGCAGCAACGTATTGAAGTGCATATAAGGAACATTTTATGTCATTTTCATTTCGACCAATTTCTGGTTAGCTTCCTGATATTGGGACGCTTGTTTTGCAAAAATTACAAGACTACAACAGATAAATTTAAAATTTTAAAAGAGTTAGAACAAAGCACATTCACACGTGTTATTTTAAAAACAGCCACCACAAGGAAATACAGATTTTATCACACTTACAATAAGTTTGTATTTGTAATTCACACCTGAGGATGATCTCGAAGGAGATCGAAAGTACTTGGGTAAGAAAAAACTACAGCGCCTTCCTTGATGAATTTCATGTTAACATAAAAAATCTGATTAGACAACTGGAAAGGATCAGTATAAAAATAAGTAGGCATAATATGTCCATATGAAGATATGCTGCCTAAATACACACACACACACACACACACACACACACACACACACACACACACACACACATATATATATATATATATATATATATATATATATATATATATACTTGTGCAAATGAATTGAAACTACCGCTTTAATTTCCTTTCTTTCATCATTCGGTCAGTTTTAGACCTACTTGGGTGACAGGGTATAATCGATTTCTTTTTTTCCCCAGATTAGCTCATTTGCAGTGCTGTACAGTAATATGAATCTATTTTCGGAATGTATGATGGAAATTGTTTGGCCTTGAAAAATATTGCGTCACCCATGATGTTCATCACGCCCAGACACTATTGTCTCGACTGTCGATTAGTTGTTCTACGGCCATTGTCTACGTTACTCCAAGGAAGCGTACGAAAATTGTAACGCCGCACGAACACATTGGCAAGCCTTACCAGTGAGCAAATCAAAGTACGATAGACGGGTCCGGAATCTCTCCCGATTTAAATCCAATCGAGAATTTGTGGTCAATCTGCAAGGAACGACTTCGTGGAATGGACATACGAAGTACTAACATGTGAACTGGGTCATGTTTCATTGGGAAAATACGAAAAAAAAAGTAAATAATAACGGAATTATTCATTTTGTTTGAATTTGCACAAGGGTTTTTATATATATATATATTATCAATAAATAAAACGTTGATGATATTTATCTATAACCAACTAAAAGTTTCGCAATGTTAACACCCCTCAGGGTCAGATAATTGTATTACTGACATAATATATATTTTTATAAACGCTTATTAGATACGCTAAATTTTCAAAATAAAAATTTTCTCTTCAGACAACAGTTAATCTCGTGACAACATTGGAATGGTTGAAAAACAACATTTTCTGATATATGTTAAATCTTGAAGTCTTGGCAAAAAGGAGGCGGTTTGTAGGAGATTATTATTATTAGTAGTAGTAAGAGAAAGAAAAAGAAACAGTGTGGACATAGAAATCAACACTGCTTGGTGACTGTCAGTTTCATGCATTAAGTGATCATCAGACCATCGCACATTCAGCGTGTCGCGTTGATTTCGATGCCAACATTATTGATATCTACAATGTCCATATACTGAGCTATTTTAGATCACAAATATAATAAATCTTGAACAATGTATAGGTATATAGGTATTAGCACTGGAATTCGAACTCTGCTCTTCGATTCCTCAATTCGAGTCGCTATTTACTCCACCGTGCCTCATATAATATATATATATTTTTGTAGTGATTTTATAACATATTCATGTTATACTTTTCGAATATATATATATATATATATATATATATATATATATATATATATATATATATATATATATATATTTCGAATATTCGAATACGAATACTTTTCGAATATATATATATATATATTTCGAAAAGTATAACATAAATATGTTATAAAATCACTACAAAAATAGCCATTTCGTTTCAACACTTTTGGTGTCTTGTCAAGTGATGGTGCTGAATGTAAAATAAAGATTATTTCAAACATCAATCCTATAATTGGAAATCATGATTCGAAAGCCATTCACAAAAATAATTGATTAGTGTTTTCGGTTCAACAAGAGAGGATAGCAGGTGAATGAGTGAAAGAAAGAGAAGTTGGAAAAGTTTTTGTTTAATCATCTCGCTCCAAGCAAGGCAATAAAGCCACTAAGGCGCAAGGGGTTACTGAGTGCGAAAGAATATCAGAAAAAGAAACACATTTTTAAGAACAGTGAACAATAAAAGAACAGGAATTAAGAAGACAGAATCTAACAATAACATTTCATTTACATTTTATGTTAAAATAGACTGGGAAGCAAGAGGAATTTAAAACTGAATATTCCTGGTTAGGTTTTTGTTTGAATTACTGAATAAAGGACTTTGTTTGGGAATAAAGGATCTTGTTTGGGAATATAGACGTCCATTTGTTTCTGTCGTCTTCATACATGATGGGGTGTTGAAAAGTACTTAGCCTGTTAAAGAAGAGATTTATAAAAATCACAACTTGTTTTCTTTCGAGATTGCATTCACCATTTTAACTTTACTTCTTCGTTCTTCTTTTTTTTCTTTCTCCGTTCTTTTCCCTTTCTTCCTCTTCTTTTTTCTTCTTTTTCTTCTTCTTTCTCTGTTCTTCTTTTTTTTCTTTCTCCGTTCTTTTCCCTTTCTTCCTCTTCTTTTTTCTTCTTTTTCTTCTTCTTTCTCTGTTCTTCTTTTTTTTCTCTTCATTTCTCTGTTCCTCTCATTCTTTCTCCATTTCTTCTTCTTCTTCTGTCTTCGCATTTCTTCTTCTTTTTCTGTTCTTCTGTCTTCCGTCCTCCTTTTTCCTTTCTTCTTTCTCTTCCTTCTCCGTTCTTCATTTTCTTCTTTTGTCGTCTTTTTTCTGTTCTTTTTTCTCTCTTTTCCATCTTTTTCCGTTCTTATTTTTTCTTATTTCTCCATTATTCTTCTTACGTCTTCTTCTTCTTCTTCTTCTTCTTCTTCTTCTTCTTACGTCACCGTTGTTGTTGTTGTTGTTGTTCTTCTTCTTCTTCTTCTTACGTCACCGTTGTTGTTGTTGTTGTTCTTCTTCTTCTTCTTCTTCTTCTTCTTCTTCTTACGTCACCGTTGTTGTTGTTGTTCTTCTTCTTCTTCTTCTTCTTACGTCACCGTTGTTGTTGTTGTTGTTCTTCTTCTTCTTCTTACGTCACCGTTGTTGTTGTTGTTGTTCTTCTTCTTCTTCTTCTTTTTCTTCTGTCTCCGTTCTTCTTTCTTTATTTTTCTTCTTCTTTCTCCGTTTTTCATTTTATTATTTCTTCCTTCGTTCCTTTTTCTTCTTTTTTTTTTTTCTGTTCTTCTTTCTCCGTTCTTCTTTTTTTCTTCTTCTTCTTCTTCTTTCGTCTTTTCCCCTTCTTCTAAAATCCCTTCAAGATAAAACGCGACCCTTTGCCCGAAAATTCAACTGAGCAATCACTTACCGGCACACCTTCCACTTTTCATTCCGCCTTTCCACCCTGCTTTCTACCCGCGTCTTCCACCCTGCTTTCCAACCCGGCTAAACCTGGTAGAAAACATTTGGCAAAAGAAACTGCACCAATAATACCAAGAACCCCGTGTCTATTGCAAGAATTCGGAACAACACAACAGGACAAGTTGAAAGCAGAAGATTCCATTTGGCAAGTCTTGTGGTGCACTTGCTGATCTTGGCAAAACTCGACGAACGTCCAATCAAGTGGCGGTTCAAGTCATTTCTTCTCTTTTTACTTTATGGATTACAGATGGAAAACAAAACAAGACGGATACTCTACGTTCCAAAATAAAATAAAAGCAAAAGAAATTCGACATCCATACGAAACGAATGAGTAAATTGCCTAAAAGAAAATATAGCTAGTTCTTGTGCAATTGGATAAACAGCCAAATTCGATTCAGTAAAATCCAGGATGTCCATAAAGTTCGTGTGCACTTTAAAAAATTTATAACTTTATTTGTATTTGCGATAGAAATAATTTGTAAAAAGGATTAGAAAGAAGTAAATCTATATTTTTTAAGGTTTTATTGAAATTTTATTAAAGTTTGAACATGTCCTCCATCATTAGCAATACAAAGGGTAATACGATTTTGCAGTTCACGGAAAACATTTGCCAACTGATTTACAGTAATGCCTGAAATCACATTAGTTATTTTAGTTATACTTAAAACTAGGTACATTAAACATTTTTTACAGATTATTTCTATCGCAAATACAAATAAAGTTATAAATAAACTTTATGGACACCCTGTATAAAGGAAAACTGTTAACATAGAGCCTACGGTTACATCTAAGTCATTTCAACTGTAAATTATATCAACATTATAATAAAAAAAAACAAGAGGTGGTTGTTCTGTATCTTTTTCATTGATAGAGAAAATATTATTAAAACTATTTTATCCTTGTAAATATTTATTAAGGACCAAACCATACCTTTGCCCGTCTTGACATCGTTAACAGACACTCTGTGTCACGTCATCATGTCTGCTGGCTAGGGCAGGTTGATTTTTCGCTTCTTTTAGAAAATTAACATTGCACTCGGTCTGAAAGCTTGGGGTCTGGTGTAATAAGTATGATGCCATAAATTAAATTCATTGCTTTTACCAATTTTTGAGCATTTAGTTTTAAAGATCGTCAGAAAAATGTAGCGAAAGCTTTAATTTTCCGCAGGTTTTTGCTTACAAACTGACTTGAAAATTTTAATATTTCAAGAATAAATCCAAAGAAAGTTGATATTTTTCGGATTAGAAACATTAAATGGTTTGGTTTGTTTTGTTTTACGGCATATCAATCTCAATGGGTCATTTAATGCCGACAACCTTTTTTTTTCTGGTAATATTTTTGTTTTGTCAAAAATCTATTTCTATTAATATTTTTCCCTCAAAAATGTATAGCTGGTAATATTATTTTTTCAAAAACGTACAGCTGGCAACATTATTTTTTTCAAAAACGTATTATCAGAGGCCTTGCTGTTGGACGTAGTTTATCGTCTTACCCAAGACGCAGATGTAGTTTATCGTCTTACCAAGGACGGTGATGTAGTTTATCGTCATACCCAGGACGTGGATGTACTTTATCGTCTTACCCAGGATGCGGACGTAGTTTATTGTCTTACCCAGAATGCAACATTGAATGTAAAATACATTGAAACCAGAAATCTAATTATGAATCACCACAAGCAAAATATGCAATTTTTTTTACGGTATTCGATAAGTAGAAACTGTGTAAAAAAAATGTGTAAAAGATTACAAAAAAGGTTTTATTCAATGAATAAAAATTGTTAGATCATTTGTTTCATCATAATTAATAAATACGAAAAATAAATAAATGCGTCAGTTATGTGCCATGAGTGATACACGCTTAGGCGATCATGTATCTTTCGATACATGATTGACGAGGCAGATTTTTTCCCGCAGTAGGTTGCCATTTCTTTCTGCGGTTGAGCAGTCGCCATCCAAGGCTATAGAACCCGGTCTGTCCTCTTTACCCATAGCTGGAGGTAGGGGAGAAGAAGAGGATTCATACCTTTCCCAAGGGTACTAGCATGTAAGGGAATTTCAGTCAGTTATGTGCCATGCGTGATACACGCTTAGGCGATCATGTATCTTTCGATACATGACTGACAAGGCAGCTTGTTTCCCGCAGTAGGTTGCCATTTATTTCTGCGGTTGACCAGTCGCCATCCAAGGCTATAGAACCCGGTCTGCCCTATTTACTCATAGCTGGGGAGGGGAGGATCCATACCTTTCCCAAGTTAAGTGAATGTAAGGGATTCGACTGGAATTTGAACACGGCTTTCCAATTCTTCAATCCGAGCCGCTATGACACCATAATACTGTTGGGAACAAATTATAAGACAAAATCTTTTAAATTTGTATTGTTCATTGAAAATCACACAAAAACTGCTGCATTGTATAACATCAGAATATAGTTAAATGGGCGCATCGCCGCGGTGTAATGGTTAGCAAACTGGTCTCACTAAAACAATTACTACTGATTTCGATCCTCACTGAGTACCCCATACTTTCCTTTTTGTACCACATCTAAGTTACGCTTAGAAAATCACCACAATAAAGCTAGATTGGTCAGTATTAGTTCCCTTTGATGTAAATGAACGTTTTTGTTTGATGGCACAATGATTTAGTGATATTATGCTTGTGCCATTCATCTTGTCCATATACAATTTGTAAAGCTTCAGTAAATGCTAAGGCTTTCACTGATCACTGGAATGAAATTCCAACGTTATGGTTTTGAACCTAAACTTCATCTTTGAACTCATTTCCTCAAAAAACGGTAACGATTTGGCAAAAGATATTTTGTGTCTTTATTTATCGTCTAAAACTCCAACTTTGAAATTGAGTGCAATGCTTGGCTTCCAAAATCGACCTGTCCTAATGTATGCGGATGTTAAGCCTGCTTGGTGACTAAAAGAGCTGCGTATTTTCTTTCGGATACATTGCCTTCTACCCGGCTACTCAACCTTGGGTAAAGACCCAAATTTCTAATATTCTCTTTCAAACTAGGTAGTTAAAACCTCTTTTTTTAAAAAAATCTGCTGCAACACAATCTTCTTCGGTTCCATCAGACTCTACCGGAAGCAGTAAATATTTATATGCTAAATGACTCAGCGAATACTCCACTATTGTCAAAGCTAAATTTATTTTTCTATTACTTCTAACTCTTGCTTCATATGCGATGTTATCACAGACACAACGTTTCGACCAAGTACCCTCTGGTTATCATCATGTGTCCATTGAATGGATTGATAGAGGAATGTCTGTTGATTGTTGTGACATGAAATGCTAAAGCTAAATTTGGTAAATACGAGTTATTTGGACGCCCTTCGTAGAGGAATAGTTGTCAAAACACTCTAGCAAGCCACTGACAGTTCTTCTAGATTATTTTGGATTTCTTCCAGAATAAGTTAAATTTAATAAATAAATAATTCTCTCACATAAACGCATAATGAAAAAATATATTGGCCCATCTGTTACAGATCGTCTATTATTAAAATGTGGGATGCAAAAGTTATGGATACCAAAACAAAGCATAAAGAAACTAAAATGACATCGGATATACTATATATATATATATATATATATATATATATATATATATATATATATATATATATATATACATTATGAAATGGACTAAGTCCGACAATTATTTTTAAGACATTTTTATGTTTATACATTCTTTTTATAGATACAAATATTTTAAGTAAATGCTCTGTTTATAATAAACAATATTAATAGCATTTACCGACCTGAATGTCCGAGAAATTTTCATAGAAAATATTCGTCCTCCGACAGGAATCGAACCTGTATCCTATACGGAACCCTCATTTAGCCTAAGTTAAGTTCAATATACCAATCGCCTGAAAGACAGAGCGTACAACGGCCGAAACGTTGTAATAAATACGGCAACAAAGACGAGGACAATAGTCCGAATAATGTAAATAGTGTACATAATACCTCATCTCAGAAATATAGACAGATACTGAATGGCCGAAATGTTGTAATAAATATGGCGACAAAGATGAGGACAATAGTCCGAATAATGTAAATAGTGTACATAATACCTCATCTCAGAAATAAAGACAGATACTGAATAGCCGAAACGTTTTAATAAATATGGCAACAAAGACGAGGACAATGGTTCGAATAATGTAAATAGTGTACATAATACCTCATCTCAGAAATATAGACAGATACTGAATGGCCGAAACTTTGTAATAAATATGGCGACAAAGATGAGGACAATAGTCCGAATAATGTAAATAGTGTACATAATACCTCATCTCAGAAATACAGACAGATACTGAAAGGCCGAAACGTTGTAATAAATATGGCGACAAAAAACAATGAGAACAATAGTCCGAATAATGTAAATAAAAAATGTTTTGATATTTATGAATTTCATATATCCAATTAATTTTTCAGTTCTTTTTTAATCATTAATAAAGGTAATTAGAATATATTAGATGAATTTTAAATATTTTAGAATATTTATTTAAAATAAAAAAGGAATTCGTGAAAAGAAAGTATTTTCTTTTTTTTAAATTGTCACAATATTTTAGAAAGCTTCCTCACTTAGAGGATAAAAACAAGCAAATTTGAACGCATCCTATCTTGATTGATATCAACTGGCGTATCTACTGACAGCCGGTGTTGAAAAGAAACTGATCTTCAAAATATCCATCAAAATAATTTTCGTAACAAAGCCATTCTTGCTGAAAATAATGTCTTCTTCGTAGATCCCGAGGCCGATTCAATCGTAAGGAATATCGAATTGTACAAACAGTAGACGTGTAATTCTCCTGAAAGGGAGATGAGTGTAGCGGACAGGTTGGAGAAGTTAGAGGAGTGGCTTTAATAGTGCTGCCAGC